GACTGAGTTGTGCGAAGTCGATCCTGAATAATCTTGACCTTATCCAAGGCATCTTGTAGTAAATCGATACCCAACAATCGAGCCTCTCCCGGTTCAAACCAACCAACTGGCGATCGGCATCGCCTTCCGTATAATGCCTTATATGGATCCATCTGAATGCTCGACTGGTAGCTATTATTATAAGCAAACTCCGCAAGTGGCAAGAAATGATCCCAAGAACCTCCAAAGTCTATAACACAGGCGCGGAGCATATCTTCTAATATTCGAATAGTGTGCTCTGACTGTCCGTTTGTGTGTGGATAAAATGATGTACTCAACTCCACCCGCGTGCCTAACTCACGCTGTACAGCCCCTCCAGAAATGTGAGGTAAACGGCGTACCTCGATCTGAAATAATAGACACGGGCACACCATGAAGTTGGACAATCTCACGAATGTAAATTTCAGCAAAACTCTCTGAAGAATAGGTAACTGCCACTTGAATAAAATGTGCTGACTTGATCAACCTGTCCACAATGACTCAAACTGCGTCAAATTTTCTCTGAGTCCGTGGGAGCCCAACAACAAAATCCACAGTGATATGCTCCCACTGCCACTCAGGAATTTCTAACTTTTGAAGCAAACCACCAGGTCTCTGATGCTCGTACTTAACTTGCTGAAAATTCAGACACCGAGCTACATATGAAACTATATCCTTTTTTATTCTTCTCCCCCAATAATGATGCCGCAAGTCCTGATACATATTGGCGACGCCCGGATGAACAGAATACCGGGAACTGTGGGCCTCTTCAAGAATCAACTCACGAATTTCATCCAAATTAAGCACACAAATATGACCCTGCATCCTAAAAACTCCATCATCTCCAACAGTAACCTTCTTGGCACCACCGTGCCGCACTGTGTAAGCTAGAACCCGACTGGGTTCTGAAACATCTAACATCACGAACTGATTAGCCAAAGTCTGAACATCTGCAGCTAATGGACTTTCACCAACCGGAATATACGCAAGACTGCTCATACTCACAACCTTTCTACTCAAAGCATCGGCCACCACATTGGCCTTTTCGGGGTGATACAAAATGGTGATATCATAGTCTGTCAACAACTCCAACCATCTTTTCTGCCTCCAATTAAGATCCTTTTGTTTGAACAGATACTGAAGGCTACGATGATCAGTAAATACCTCACACGAGACACCGTAGAGGTAATGCCTCCAAATCTTCAGCGCATGAACAATGGCTGCCAATTCTAAGTCATGAACAAGATAATTCTTCTCGTGAACTTTCAATTGCCACGACGCATATGCATTTACCTTGCCATCTTGCATTAATACTGCACCAAGCCCAATGTGAGAGGTGTCACAATATAAAGTATACGATCCTGAACCTGTGGGTAATACCAACACTAGCGTTGTAGTCAAAGCGATCTTGAGCTTCTGAAAGCTCAACTCACACTCGTCTGACCATCTAAATGGGGCGCCCTTCTGGGTCAATCTGGTCTTAATAGTTGTTCATAATCAATTACAGAATCGTCAATTAACTCCATGTTAACAAAAATCTCATTTCAAACCTTCACAATACTAATAACGAGATGCGAGGCATGAAGACCTCATAATTATTTACCCGAATTAACGAGTCACATTCAACGCAGGGCTCCAAACCAAACATGCACCCAAGTCCTAAAACATCATACGAACTTGCTCGCATGATCAAATCGCCAAAATAACACCAAGAACTACGAATCGGACGCCAAATCAAAAGAGATTTTCAAGAAAACTTTTAAACTTATATTTTTATACCCGGACGTCCGAATCACGTCAAATTAGCTCCGATTCTCACCAAATTCGGCAAACAAGTCATAAATATTATAGTGGACCTATACCAGGCTCCGAAACCAAAATACGGACCCGAGGTCAATAAATCTAACATCAGTAATTTTTTAAAAATTATTAAGCTTTCAAGCTTTTAATTTTTCATCAAAATTCCATATCTCGGGCTAGGGACCTCGGAATTCGATTCTGGGCATACGCCCAAGTCCCAAATCACGATACGGACCTACCGGAATTATCAAAACACTAATCCGAGTCAGTTTGCTCAAAATATTGATCAAAGTCAACTCAGATGAGTTTTTAAAGCTCTATTTCACATTTTAATCCATTTTTCACATAAAAACTTTCCGAAAAATTGTACGGACTGTGCACACAAGTCGAGGAATGATAAATGATACTTTTTGAGGTCTTAGAATACAGAGTTACTTATTAAATTTAAAGATGATATTTTGGGTCATCACATTCTCCAGATCTAAAACAAACGTTCGTCCTCGAACGGAATTAGAAAAATTACCTGAGCTGGAGAAAAGGTGTGGATATTTACTCCGCGTGTCCGACTCGGACTCGTAGGTAGATGCCTCTACCGGCTGACCTCTCCATTGCACCCGAACTAAAGGATAACTCTTAGACCTCAACTGTGGGACCTGCCGGGCTAGAATAGCCACCGGCTCCTCCTCGTAAGTCAAATATTTGTCCAATTGGACTGAGCTGAAATCTAACACATGGGACGGATCACCATGATATTTTAGGAGCATAGACACATGAAACACCGGATGAATCACTGATAAATTAGGTGGTAATACAAGCCTGTAGGCTACTTCACCCACCCTTTCAAGAATTTCAAAGGGCCCGATATATCTAGGGCTCAACTTGCCCTTCTTTCCAAACCTCATTACACCTTTCATAGGTGAAACTTGGAGCAATATTTTTTTCTCCAACCATGAATGCAATATCACGAACTTTACGGTCGGCATAAATCTTTTGCCTTGACTGTTCTGTGCGAAGTTGATCCTGAATAATCTTGACCTTATCCAAGGCATCTTGTAGTAAATCGGTACCCAACAATCGAGCCTCTCCCGGTTCAAACCAACCAACGGATGATCGGTATCGCCTTCCGTATAATGCCTTATATGGAGCCATCTGAATGCTCGACTAGTAGCTATTATTATAAGCAAACTCCGCAAGTGGCAAGAAATGATCCCAAGAACCTCCAAAGTCTATAATACAGGCGCGAAGCATATCTTCCAATATTCGAATAGTGCGCTCTGACTGTCCGTTTGTCTGTGGATGAAATGATGTACTCAACTCCACCCGCGTGCCTAACTCACGCTGTACAGCCCCTCCAGAAATGTGAGGTAAACTGCGTACCTCGATCTGAAATAATAGACACGGGCACACCGTGAAGGCGGACAATCTCACGAATGTAAATTTCAGCTAAACTCTCTGAAGAATAGGTAACTGCCACTGGAATGATAAATGGTATTTTTCGAGGTCTTAGAACACAGAATTACTTATTAAATTTAAAGATGACTTTTGGGTCATCACAATTATGTATTTTAAATAGACAATTGTATGTTTTAGAATTAATTTTTAAAATATTTAGATGTCAATTTGCATAAAATAAGTGATATTTAAAGTTTATTATTGTGTGTTTTTTATGGTTTGATAAAAAATGTATAGATATGAAAAATTTGAAAATTTTAAAAATATTTAGTGAGGTAAAAAAGAAAAACAGCAACATATAGGAGAGGAAAATTTATTATCTCTAATAAATTAGTTTTTCATCAATAAAAATAAAATGTATAAAAATCTAGTCACCCAATAAAACATAATAAAAATATTTAATCATGGATATTTGATGATTTATAGCCATGAAATTATGGGTTGGTAGCTAAATAAAAATACTATAATATAAATCTAATATGTGAGCATAGCTACGTATTTGAATTTTGTAGCTAAATAAATAATATCTTTTGCCACAGTATAACCCTTTGTATCTAAAGTATAGAAGATAGCTACAAAGTTGATTTATCGTGGCAAAAGAATAAAATCATTAGCTATAAATATATATTTTTTGTGGCAAAAAGTTTTATTAATATAGCCACATCACAAAAAGTTTTGTAGCAATAAGTATTAATCTTTAGCTATGAAATATTAAAGTTTGTAGCTAACTTTTAGTTACGCTACTTCTAGCTACGGATGCTACGAAAAAAATTATTATGGCTAAAGTGTTTAGCCACGCAAATTTGCATGTTTAGCTACGACGTACTTCGTAGCTGTATATGCATAATGTTGTAGTGATACTAAAAATAAATATTCAAATTTTGTTGAAAATACTGATGGATATCCATCGAAATATGAATTAATTCATATTTTTAATTTTTAAATTTAATAAATTAAAATTCTAAATATAACGATGGTGTCCGTCGATAACATTAAATTATTATTTCTAATTTACCGTGAGATCTCCATATTGATATTATATTATTTTATAATATACCGACCGATATCCATCGGTAAATAAAATTATTTAACTAAATTGTGTTAGAAAGGTACCGATGGTTGTCCAATGGGGTGCATTGGTAATTACCGAGGGATTCTGTCGGTTGCTTTTATCGAGAAGCGATTTACCTACGTACCACTTACCGACGGACTTCCTTCGGTAAAACGTCCCTCGTTAATCTGGGTCGGTGAACAACTATTTTTTTAGTAGTGACATACGTGATGACACCATTGATGATTATGGTGGGATGGATAAGACTTTAACCCAAGGTCTTGAATTTGTTCATTGGAAATACTACAAATACTCCTACGTTCTTTACTCCCAGGGCATTTTTGAAAAAAAATAAATTAATTCTTTCTTGATATTTGAAAAAATCAAATATTGTAGACTACAAAAAAAAGGCCAAAAAATCAACTAAAGTGGACCGGAGGGAGTAATATATTATAGCCTATTGTAATATTGATCATATTATCTGTGTTAGGAGTTAAATTGGGCGAGTTATTAAAAACATTATTAGTGGTTGATGGTTGATATTACCCGGTTCCCTAAGTGACATTTCAGTGACCAAGGAGGTGAATTAATTATTAAAGTCTCATGAGTTAAATTCAGTGTTATTCAATTCAGCCATATATAATCATAATCATAGGACGATTCCTTATCATTGTCCCCTAGAATACTACTCCATATCCTTCCGTTTGATCTTACCTCTTCTTTCTTAATTTGTTGTTTCAAAAATGGGACGTAAGGCTTCAAGAATCATCCCTCAGAACAAGCAGCCCATTGGCAAGAGGCTGAAATCGGAGACTGAACTTGCAGCTCAGTTACAAGAAGCTGTCAAGCCCCTCCAACTTCTGAACATGATCGACACGACCGAATTCACACCCTTGGGACTGACAGTTGAATGCTACATTCGTCGGACTCGGGTGTTCTTGAGCATTTCTTCAGACCCCATAGTGCTGAAGGAGACTGCTCTGGCCGCTGCCCGAGCCGGTGTATATGATCTCTCTATACCTGCACAACATGCCGGATGGAAGTTAAGCCCACTCGGTTCGTTTCAACTCATTACTTTTTGGCTCAAATTATGTTTACTGAACTGACTTTATGAAGAATTTTATATAACTATAGTGTGTATTTTAATCTGATATGTATATATTCCAACTTTTCCAGGTGCTAATTATTTCTACTTTTAAGGACAGTTATTCTAAATTAAAGCTCAAAGATCCTATTTCTAGAGTTATGTGAAATTATGCAAAACAACTTAGAATCTTGAATTCGGTTGTGTAGATATTCTTAAGATTTCTGAATGGATGAAATCGCCTGATGGAGAAAACCACATGCGCCTAATTTACAAGAGGCGGAAGCTAGAGAAGAAGGTGCGATCAGAGATGTATAAGAAGGAAGCTGCACTAGTTCAGGTCAGTGCCGATCGACTTTATCACCAGGCCAAGTTTGAATTTTAACTTGAAATAGAGAATTTAAAGTTGAAAAACTTCTCTGAGTAATCAATTTCAACTTTAAAAATTTGTTTTTTAAGCTCCTACAAATATTGTCCAGGTGGGTTGTGAAGTACACATTTTTGTAAAACTTTCACGTTTATTTGAATCGAATATATTTAAAGGTTCTTAATTATTAAGGTTTGATTTTAGGCAGCCTATTCTATTGAGCCACACCTGGGTCAGCTCCTCTCGATACAACTCCAAGAATATAGAGCTGAGGTGAAGAAGATAAGGAGCGACTACGACAAGAAGATAGATCGCTTACACCGTGAGATTCAAAGGCTAGAATCTCTCAAGGCCCGTGAATTATTGAAAGAAAATTGAACCTTTATTAATATCTATGTCAAATATCTTTTGTATAATGTTTTTGCCAATTGGAAATTTACTTAAGTTTATTGTTCCAGGTTTAGTTACCCACAAGTTCTCCGAATATATAGTCAACAGACTGTCCCTTGAACTTGGAAGCATCTTTTTTTTTCGATATTTTTATTATACAGTTAGATCGATATAGTTAGTTCAGACGACCTAGATGAATAAATTCAGATTGGGGTTGTTGCTATTATTAAAACTAGTACTCCTTCCACCCCTAATTGATTAATTAATTAATAGTATGATGAACACATTTATTAAGGTAAGATTGGAGTTTCATTTAAATTGGTAGTCAAAAAGTTGAAATGAAGTTTCGGGATATATATATAGGAGTAAAGACAATTAGCTTTTCGGTAATTGATAGTTTTAAACTGAGAATGTGAATGGTCATTCTATTCTAGTGATCTAAAACGTTCTGAAGTAGTTATCGAAACTTGAGAGGGAAATAATTAAGAGTGATGAACCCAAAGAGCTAGTTAAACCTAGTCACTAATATTAATAGGCTCGTTTTTTGGGTTCTTGAAAGGACTTTATTGTTGAACTTTCTAAGTTTTGATCGTATTCAAAAACCAAATCACATATTTTCTAATCCTTTCGTCTCAAATTATCTATCGTGTTTGTGTTTTATACGCTCTTTAAGAAAATAATAATTAAGAGGTATTTTGACTATTTTATCTTTATTTATATCTTATATATTGGTATTTGAACGATCATAATATTAACCCATAATTGAGGTATTGTAGTTTTCAAGAACAATTACTATTTAGGGTAAATAGGAAAAATAATTGAATTTGTCTTAAACTTCTAAAATGACAAATAATTTGAGATAACTATTTTTAGAAACCGCGATAGATAATTTGAGACGTAGGGAGTATACAAAAAGCCTAACTCCAACTTCAAAAGTAAGATTAATGTGTGCTTCTGTTGTGCCTTTCATTTCTTCTTCTCCTTATTGTGTAGTTATCGATGTCAGTTTGTCTTTGATAAGCTTAACAGAAGCAAAAGGCAATATAGTTCTCGGTTTTATTCTTTGATTTTTTCCTTAGAATAACAAATCTTTATAGTCCTGTATTTTCATAGTGTATTTGACAAATGATATGCTTGCTGTAAAAAATGAATTATTTGATATTAAGAGGAGATCTATGAATGATTTCAATAAGAACACACCACTGTTTACTCTTCATTATAACCTTTTTTTTATTTGAGAGCTATAGTATCTAACTCAACAGTAACTATTTACCCAATCACCTTCATGTTATTCAAAACCTAAATATGGAAAAGCAATCACCGCAATGAAGATCACAAAAAAGTAGAGGGCACGACATGCAGATAATTCTAGACTAATTAATTTAGCACAGTAGCACTGCAATATCTGCGTAACAGCATCCTTTAATATACCATAAGTACACTTAGCACAAGAGCACTTCAATATGTTCTTAACAGCATCCTTTTGTATACCATAAGTACACTGTCCAGTGGAACCATCCACATTTAAATATTATATACACCATACACCAAAAAAATACATATATTGTTGTATCTTCAGTACAGCATGTGTTGGAGCTATGCTCCCAACCTTAGTAGTCAATCTTTTCCATTCCAAAAACACAACATAGGGAGATTTTGCGGCACCTGGAAAAAGCATGTAAACTTCAATAAAGTGCAAAAATAGATATTAGTGAGTACCTGGAAAGTCCTAAGACTCTTCAAAAACATCAGTTTAAAGGCGAAAAACTATCAAAATCCAAAATTCTGCCCAAAATAAAAAATAATAGTTGCGAGAAGCAGCCAACAGAGACGGAAAGTGGAAAAAAAATACTAAGTGATAAGAAGAAAAAGGGGGAATAAAATAACCAATTAAGATCAAGTAGTAAGGGAGATTAGTATTATACCCTTTTGCGAGCAGGTATTTAGCGCTTGTAAATGAGTAAAAATTGATTTGAGCTTAATTCACTAATTAGAATCTTGTAGAGTTCTTGTAATCGTAATTACTTTTGAGGTTAAATTTTATTTTAAGAAAAATAAATTTGTATTCATCTAATATTCCAAATCATGCACCCACGTATCAATTTTCAAACATGCAAATCAAACCATAATATGAACATGCAAGTTGAAAATCCAACAATAAACAACCCAGGAAAAAAATCTACTAACATATACCCACCAAAGAGCAGGAAACACACGATATCCAGCAAATTGTGATTACAAAGAATGTGCAATAAATAAATAAAATATAAAAACTTAATTTTCAGAGATCAAAGTCTTAGCTTCATAAACAAAATCATCTATGCAAACCCAAAAATTTATATAGAGCAGACCATCATCACAACCATCATAGAGAAATTAGAGAGATCTGACATTGAAAGAATGAAAGAGAAAATGGAATTTTACCATCATCAATAGAAATACCATAGCGATCAATACTAAAAGAGTAAAAAATAGAAGGAAGGTTGAGAAACTCACGGAAGAGAAGCACACTTCGAAAATCACAGAAGAGAGCAAGAAGCTGACACTACTAGAAATCAAGGAAAAACCGACCAAGCCATACCGACCAACGTTGGTCGGTCAACAAAAGCGACCAAAAAACCGTACAACACGGACAGAAACTACAAAAAAAATATTTTATATTTTTTTAAAATTACATACCGACCAAAGTTAGTTGGTATATTGGTCAAAAATTTGACCGAAGTGGTCAGACTTGCTTAGTCAAAGCAGCTTTTTGATTACCGACCAACTTTGGTTGGTAATGTGGACCCACTTTTTAAAATTTTAATAATTATATTATTATTTAAAATATTTTATAAAATTTATAGAATTTATATTTAAGTTTACCGACCAAAGTTGGTCGGTTATTGCAGGGGAAGCATTTACCGACCAACTTTGGTCGGTATATTTTATTTCCTGAAAAATAACCGACCAAAGTTGATCGGTTATTATGTCAAACATGGTCAAACTTTTGAATCACTTTAATATTTACTATCTAAATAATATAAATGTAAT